GTCTGTTTTTAATAATGGATGTTCATGGAGAGTTTATTGAAGAGGGATTAAAGAACAATTTAAATCATGGAGATGAAAAACAATACTCCGCATAATAATATTTCAGGGACCTAAAATAAAATATTGTAGGGATGAAAAACATATGTATGCCCCAAATATATGTTTACCAGAATGCGAAATCCACCGGAGTCTAACTATATCTCCAATAATATGCCATAGGGACTGTCCAGATCTCTTGATTTCGGTTTTTGATGTTTCTTGAATAGATGATGACGGTTGATTTGCCAAAGAAGAACATTCAGAATCATTTTCTTGTAATTGAGGTTCTCGTTGTTCATTCTGCTCACCCTCATGTATCAACTTTGTTTCACGTGATAATCTTTTCACCCCTTGAGTTTCAGAACTGGTAACTTCACACCTTACTTTCTCATCAAACTCACCAAGTCCATGTTTTAGAGAAACAACTTCTTCTAGAAGTTTCGCATCAACTTCATCCCTTTTGACCTCGCCACATGGTTCTTGCTGTATTTGGTATGGTCTAGCTGAGGATTGTTCCATTGGCCTACTAGAACCACTTAGTGATTCGAATTTCGGAGAATTTGACAATTGAGAAGATGAGTGGGCCTGAGATACTTGTGTGTTAGTGTTATTTCCATTAAAATTGGTGGCATCATTTCCACATGCCACCAGTGGATCCTTTCCATGCATTGAAGTGGTACCTTCTGCAAGTTGTGCGCTTGTTTGAGAAGATTTCCCGGATTCTAAAGTTGACAACTGAAGGCTTGACTTATATTTTTTCTGATCTTTAAACTCCATGTTTGATTGCCTCTCGGAAATGTAAGTTCTATGTTCATCTCTAGTCACTTGTATAGCTAACTCTTGAGCTTGATTGTGTTGCTTATCTAAGATATTTGAAGATGTTTCACCATTCTTTTTAATAATGCTAGACACTCTTTCTTTAGCAAGTTTCCCTCTAAGATCAACTTCTTGAAATTGAGGTTCACAAATCTTTAACGAATACTTCCCCGATCCATCTCTGGATTTCATCATTTGATTCAAGGGTTCTGTAGGACCTGTGGCATTTACTGCCGGATCTAATACTTTCTTATGCTTTATTTGAATCTCAGACTGTTCAATTGCTTGTTCAGCAGAGGTGGGTTGACGTTTCTTATCATCATATGTCTTATAGGAACTAATAAGTTCTTTTCTATAGTCAATCTCATCGACACCCAAAATCCTTGATTGCTTATGTGAAGATTCTTTCCTTAACTCTTTCTCTTCAATCGATGTCTCGCCCAGCCTCTTCTCGGATTTCTTTCTCCAATTGATGGGCTCTATGTCAGCTAATGGTGCTACGAAGGGTTTTCCAAACGCGTCATCCTTTCTCAAAATCGCCCCTTGTTCCTTGGACTGATCCTCAAACCTCCTAACTTTCTCTCCTATTTCATTCCTCGAATGCCTTTGATTTTGCTCTTGCTCAATCCGCACCTCATGATCACTTTCTAGCTCACCTGTTGAAGAAGCCGAGTAGTATGAAGAACAGCTAGACCCCTCTTTTTTCACTTTCTCATGATTTTTTTTTGAAAAATCTTCATTCCTAGACAAATATTCCTTTTCGTCTTTCAAAACACTGGTTGCCTTTTGTCTCTCACTGCTCAACAAAACATCTTTATCTTCTTCCCTCGCTCTAGGTCTGACCAGTTTACCCCCCACGGCCTCCTGTTCAGTTCTTAAAAGAGCTCCTTTTCCTTTTTCTCTCCTACGTTCTTTTCTTGTCTTATTATCCTCTTCCTCCTCTGACTCAGCTTCCCACTTTGACTTTCTAACTACACTTGATTCCCTACTCCCTTTCTTCTTATGGATGCAATTTTTCTCAACATTGCCACTCTCTTCAATCTCCAACACTCTATTCTTCCAGGAACTTTTTTTTCTTGCCCTCAAATCATCAAAATCCTCATCCACACTCTTGGTAAGCAAACTGAGCAAAACCTCAGCCACACCAACATCAGAAAAACTGTCTCTTTCACTATTATCTTGAAATCCCAGAGACCTTAATCTCCCTCTTCCTCCACGCACACTCACCTCATTAAAAGAGCAAGATTTCTTATAAGAGCATTTTCTTTCAAAGCCGAGACTGGATGAATTCTTATTAGACGTGCTATCTAAGCTGCTCAAGAACACTTTTTTACAAGGTGACCACTGAATCAAAGTGGACTGCCTCAGACCATAGACATAGCAAGGGCCTAGTGGGACTCTACACATCGAATTTGCGCAACAAAAGCAGCATGATGACGATGAATTATACAAGGGGTATTTGTTAAACCTGTCTTTTGTACAGTATGGATTACCATAGGATGAAAAAGCAGCACACCCTTTACATTTTACTGAGACAGTTGAGCTTACATAGGTGTTGTACATGGCTATGAAGTAGAAACAGAGAGAGCAAATTCGATGGAGTTCGAGATACCTTGATGCGAGAAATGGGATGTCCTGGAGTTCCTGGAGTTCCTTGATTTGGACAAGTTGATGCCCATATGGCAATATGGAGTCCGATCAGCTCTCTGAGTTGGATCAGAAGGCTACGATAAGAATCAAGTGAGCAAGCAAACCGAAATTGAGCGAGTAAGGGGATCAACTGAGTCCACTCGTTTGAACTCCCAATTTTTTCTTTAGTTCCACGTATGTTTTGCAATGGAGCAAAAGATTCATTATTTTTTTACTTAAGAATATGATGTAATAAAGTAAAATGGCTTATCAAATTGTCTGCTTTTCTTTATTATGAAGTAGCAGTCAGTCCATGCAATTTTGGAAACGATTTTCATTATGGGTCATCTGGAAACAATCTATTTGTACTTTAGTACAGGGTAAAACTGCGTGCATCCGACCCCCTACCTCACCGTAGGTGTGAGCCTTTGCAGCACTGAGGTAAATGATGATTGATTGATTGATGATTGATTGAAGTAGAATTGAGAGTCTCCGTAGAATCATTCTGCTAAAATTCATTCTGTTATTTATGAAAAAAATTTCAAAATATATTTTATTAATAAAATGAAAAAAAAAATAACATGAAAAAATAGGTAAAAAGATTCTCTACAGTAACTTCATCCGATACAGTCAGGAAAAGTAACTTCAACCTTATTTTTTCTTATTATTACACACTTCAGCACGCGAAATCAAAAGTTACGTGTTTGGTGAAAAAGTTAGTTGATAAGTCTGGTAAACCAAAAAACAGAGTCATCAAATGAGCTCTGAATCAAGTGATTGTCAATTAAAAAATGTTTGGTCTAGATCCTACATGGCATTTTACACGTAGATTAGATTGTTTGTGTACAACGTCTTGTACAAATGATACAAATAGCTTTGTCCAATTATTCAAGCATAATTGAGCTTTACAATTTCTAAGTTTACCGATTTTACAAAAATAAATTATTACTGAAAATTTTCACACCATTAATTTCTAATTGTTAAGTATTAAAAACTGTTGCATAAGAATGAAGTGTCACACATTTGTATTGTAGTTTTTTTCAAACATAAATGCACTTGCAAGTTGCAATACGTTACATTCATACTCCGTATTTTCATCTGCTTACTCATAAATTGATTCATTGATTGATTTTATTTCAATAAACTGATCAAATTAGTTATACTAGTATTATATTGCAGAAAACGACACAGAATCCCATATAAATTTTATAAGTAAACTAAAGTAAAACCAAAGTTAATGCAAATACATATCTAAATGCTTATACAATTCAATCAAGTTTTACTATTTAATGGTCTAGCTTGTTCGGCAATCGTTTGTTAGCATTTAATTGGCTTTTTTGGCTGTTTTCATATACATATTGGTGTATTGGTTATAGGCAACTTATTGTGTTAACTAGTTATCTAAAAATGTTGATTAAATTGATTGTTTACAAATAGAATGTTTCTCGATAAAATTACAATTAAGAGCATTTTTTAATTCGTACAAATAGTGTTTCAATATCCAAAAATGTTCTTTCACTTCTTTTTCTTTGTACACACCACATGTACACATCAATACACACTATAAATACAATCTATTTTTTCATTTCACATTTACCATCTTTTCTTCCCACTCTTTTCTCTCTCCTCTCTTCTCCCTAGGGCCTAGGTTCCCCTCCTTGCTCAATCTTTTTCTTTTTCTTTCTTTTTCTTTCCATCTTCATCACATTCATCTCCACCCCTATGTATTCATAATCTTGTGTCATTTTTTATCTCAATCACTATCTTTCATCTTTATTATTTTCATCTCATCACCTTCCATCTTTTCCACTCCATTTTTTAATTTTTAAGATTCGTGAGATGAAGAGTCACCGGAAAATTAAACTGAAGATGAATAATTGGTGAATATTTGTTTGTATCGTATAAAAAAATGTCTATGACTTCTTAAATATTAATTAAAAAATGTATGAAGAAATAAAATTGAAAAAATATAATTAAAAGTCACTGGAAAACCAACCGGAGGTAAAATGTCGCCGGAAAATAAACCTAAGGTGCTGTCGGTATCATTCAAAGTGTTGAGCTAGTTTTCTTCCACAAACAAAAAATATATGGCACAAACAAAAAATGTACTAGTGTTGGGGTATATTACCCCGGCCCACTACTGTTTAGAGATCCAAGACACCGCCCCGGTACGGGGCCCGGTCTGTGAGGCTCATTTCGGCCCAACACGACCCATGTAGGCCCATTGGCCCAAATCAGGAAAACCCTCACACCCACCCCCCATCTATAAATAGGAAGCAAAGCTTCCTGCTAAGGGGAGGCTCTTCTTTGGCTCTTCTCTCTTGGAGAAAGCTTCTTCTCCTTTACTTCATCTTCTTTATTAGTGAATTAGCTCATAATTCTCCATTAATGGAGCTTCAACTTATGTATTATGTAAATGGTGAAGAGAGCATATTAATGAGAAAGAGCGGGTTTGGACGTTAGTCTAAAAAGTCCCGTGGTTTTCTCCCTTTCCGGGTTTTCACGTAAAAATAGCTAGTTGATACACTTTTATATTTATGATTTACTTTTATACTAAATTCGTCGTCCTTAATATCCGAAGTTTATGTTGGGCTTTTGGATCTACGAGACTAAACCTCATAATTGGCGCCGTATCACCCGTATGTGGGAACCACTTCTAAAAGTTCCATGTGTTCTTGATTTTCTACAAAAAAAATTGATACAAAAACATCCTGGTCTTCAAAGGGAGGAAAAACGCAGGGGGGAGGATTTGGGAAAACTACGAATGAAGAATTCTTGGTGAAGAATCCAGACTAAGTCAAGCAGCTGGCCACCAAGTTACTGATATCCAACGTGAACTACCAATGAGTGAACCAGCCATGGCAGCAGCCTACCAGTGAAGGAAGAAGATGTAAATGGGCCCACATGCCCACTAACTTGATAAAAAAGAATATCTATCAAGCACAGCACTTATCCAACAAACAAGCACAGCCTTCCCGAACGGGAGCACCCCGAACACCCAAATTAAGTAATGTACTCGACTGAAATTCCAGGAGACCACCGGTTTACTACCTCCTGCAGAACCCCGGACATAGGATGGAAATCTCTAGTGGTGCGGTTTTACCCGAACGGCATTCCAGATCAGTACAGTGGCGCATGCCAAGCAGCCCCAAGCTGATACCCTGGACCACCCAGGGATAGCAGGCCAGCAGTTAGATCCTGGGTGGCATTTTCTGAGTTTTCATGCAAACAACGCCGTTTCTCGAACGGGAATATGCCAAAACTTGTGCTCAGTAGACTTCAAGCCATCAATATCCCCTGTCAAGTGCGGTTTCGACCGCTCGGTAGTAAAGATTCGACTTCCTTTCAACCCAAAGGCTTCAGCAGTCTCAATCGATCACCATATTCCCGAACAGTGATCATTCCCCGATCGGTATACCAGGCCAAACACCCACGCCGGGGTGACCCGGATGATCAAACACCACCCGATAGGAGCGGGCAAGCAGGTACACCTCCCGAACAGCAAGGGAGCTCCCTTCTGGCGTTTGGCCGTTCGGCACGCCTCTTTCCAAGACTCGGCTTTTATTCCCTCAGGAAGATCTACCATGAGGGGGATACATCAGGATGGCCTTTGTTCAAAGGCCAACACCGCATGAGAATTTTTGTTAAATATCCCAAACCGGAAAAGTTTGGATGAAACGAGTGCTATATTAATCTCTGGGCTACTCCTCCTAACAAGTTGACCTTTTAGGATGGAATCTCGTGTCTTAACATGTATCAGAGCCAAACCGATCCATGGTGTGGGCCCCTTATGAAAAAATGACGACATGATTATATAAAAAATATGACAATGACGAACCAATGAAAAAATGAATGATGGCACGATCCAGACGAAGTGTCTGGTCGTGAGGAGGAGTGTTAAATATCCCACACCGGAAAAGTTTGGATGAAACAAGTGCTATATTAAGCTCTGGGCTACTCCTCCTAACAGGTTGACCTTTTAGGATGGAATCTCGTGTCTTAACAATTTTCCATCTACAAGAGCTTAGATGTCTGCGGGCCGCAGCCTACTTGCGCAGTGCCGCTCGGGGTTCCGTCACTCGGGCATCGCCTTACTCAACCATTCCCTGACACGTCTCGCCGTCCGGTAAGTTCCCAATCGGCACCTCCGAAATCAACAACAATTCTGGACTTGGCTTTTTGTGAAGCTCCACCAAGCAGATGTTTCAAATAAAAGGGGCTCCGGCAATCTCGATCGGCGGAAAAAGGGAAAAGAGAAAAAGAAGTTGTGCAATGAATCACCAACCGAGCTGGTTATGAGTCCAAAATTGTGACTAGTCTAAGGAGACAGATGGTATGACCGACTTGGTGATGGACTTTCTAAACTACAACGATATGGGCTGGATCACTCTGGGAGATCAAATTCTCCAGGCCTGGCAGCTGATACTCGCCTATTTCAGCTAAGTAACTTCATTTTTCACCAGCCCGTTCAATTGTGAATATTTCTCAAGGTTGTTATTATCTGGATCACCATTCTTAATTAGGGATTAAAAACATCCCTAAACTAATAAGATCGAGCTAAGCTTTAGAGGGGCGTCGGCCCACCCTCGATTGGCTATAATCAGCAATCGGAGCTTATCTACAAGCGTTACCCCGACAAACGCGTTTTCAATTTCAAGGCCACCTATAGGCCCGCTCGGCATTGACGTTTCATTCATGAAAATATTAAATGAAATGATGTATTAATATTACTGAGCGATTATTTGTTTTGTAGGGATTAAAATATCCCGTGTTAAATAAGAACTGAGCGAAGCTCTAGTAATGAGTTCACCAAACATTTTAGTTAAATGCTTGGACTTTATGGGCGCATCGGTCCACCCCCGATTGGCCCAAATTAACTGATGAAAGCGTCACAAGGACAACTATAACGATATGGTCCTGCTCAGCATCGAGTGACCGAACGACAATTATACCCAGTACGGGACGAAGTACTTACATTTCTGAGAGCGCCCGGCAAACCACTAGGTGGTTCCGGTCGTAGACTCTGACGGATTCGAGAAATAAATCTAGGCCGAGGGTTATTATTACCACTTTAGCCGGTAGTCATGAATAAAAAATAAAAAGAAATGTTGCACATGTGTATGTATATACTTGTATATGTTCGGCCGTGCGGTCGTATTACCATGCTGATTGTGCAGTGAAATTCGTTCGATATTCTCGAACGAGGAGATCAAGAAGCACAGAGATGTTCATGATGATTCGGCATGAAATGCATAGACGTTCATGACTGGAAACGAGAAAAGAATCACATTCTTTCAGAACCGTTCGATCAGCTCGAATGGGGAGATCATGAAGCACAAGAGATGTGCATGACGTTCGGCAAGAAGAGCATAGACGTTCCTGACTGGAAACGAGAAAAGAATTATAATCATTCAGATCCGTTCGGTATGCTCGAGCTGGAAGATCCATGATATTCGGCATGAATTGCATAAACATTCATGACCGACAAGAAGAAATCACCACATTCAGAGCTGTTCGATCAGCTCGAACGGGGAGATCATGAAGCGTAGAGACGTTCATAATTGGCAACGAGAGAGAGAGAGAGAGAGAGAGAGAGAGAGAGAGAGATTACAAGTGTGTAGGTATCATGACACGTGGAGAGACCACCATCATGGTCGAGGGCCGTGAAACGAGCATTTGCCACCCCAGAGGCCGAGGGCCTAGAAGAAACCATCACGGCCGAGGGCCGTGAGACAGTCCTTATATATCACGGCCGGCCTATCGGCACGACATGATTCTCTTTACTTGAAGACCGGTATCATCCCCACGCTACGCGGATGAGGACCGTTGCTTGAGTTTCAGGTCGGCCTCTCATTGCTGACACCACTATATCATGACCGGCCTCTCGGCACGGCGAGTTCTCCATACTTGAAGACTGGTATCATCCCCGCGCTGCGCGGATGAGAGCCGTTGCATGGATACACTTGATCGGCCTCTCATCGCTGACACCATTACATCACAACCGGCCTATCGGCAAGGCATGATTCTCTTTGCTTGAAGACCGGTATCATCCCCACGCTATGCGGATGAGGACCATTGCTTGAGTTTCACGTCGGCCTCTCATTGCCGACACCACTATATCATGATCGGCCTCTCGGCACGGCGTGTTCTCCATACTTGAAGACCGGTATCATCCCCGCGTTGCGCGGATGGGAGCCGTTGCATGGATACACTTGATCGTCCTCTCATCGCCGACACCATTACATCACGATCGGCCTATCAGCACCACATGATTTTCTTTATCTGCAGACTGGCCTCGACCCCGCTCCTCGCGGATGAGGACCGTTGCTTGTTCCTTTCCGATCGGCCCCCAATGCCGACATCATTGCATGGACACCGACCCCCTGGTACGGTGCCATTATCATATCCGGCCAGCCTTGTCCCCGCTCCTCGCGAATGAGGACTATTGGTTGTTTTTGTTCTTTGATCGGCCCCCAGTGCTGACATCTTTACATGGCCACCGAGCCCCTCGTACGGTGCCATCATCATATTTTGAAGACCGGGCTCATCCCCGCTCCTCGCGGATGAGGACCGTTGCTCGAGTTTCCGGATTGGTATCCTTAGTACCGACATCTTTACAGCATGACTATATTTTATGGACCGCCGCCGCTGTCCTCATATCATGATCGACCTCTCGGCACGACATGTTTATCACTATGAAGGCATCTTCACACTCCACGGAGGAAGACCTATTATCCAGATGATCTGACTGCTTTATAGCTCCACGATCGGCCACCCCGGCACGACGTGATCATCATTATATCTCCATGATCGGCCACCCCGGCACGACGTGATCATCATTATGAGTCCATGTATTTATATATATATATATATATATATACACACACACATAAAAGAATGATAAATATGGAAAACCCAGAGAGAAAAAGAGAGAAAAGGAGATCAGGGCTCCTTGATTGTCGCCTCAACCATAGGTACGAATGAACTGTATCGGGAAAACCGAACGGGGCATTGAAACTGTAGTTTGGTGGCGAAGAATAGACCATTAGTATGAATGATGATCTAGATCGGAGAAAACCGGACGGATTAGCAGCAGAACTATTGGCTAAAATTCTCACCTCAAGCATAAGTACGTTGTACCATTCTAGTGGGAAGAACGGGGAACGGAACTATGAATTTGGTGTGAGTCATAATTTCAGCCAGGGCGGAACGATCTGTTCGTCGAAAGCGAGCGAACGGGGGTACAAAATGGTTTAGAGGCGATGTAAAGGGCGGCCCAACGTGGTCCTGGGCCGACGGGTCCTGAGTTTGTCAGAGTCGAGTCCGTGGAACACCCCGTCCAAAGGATAGGGGGTTCTACAACCGTGTTCACAAGTGTGTGGCATATACGTTTGGGGCTACCCAAATGTCGCGATGGCTTGTTGAGTGTGGTAGCCATCCCCGACCAATTAGTTAGAGTGACCCGTCCAAATCAGACCGGACAGGTGATCTCGCGGCTGGTTCGGTTTGAGCTGGGGAATAAAAGCTATCATTCTTCTATTGATCATCTTATGCAGCACGAACGGGCTCCACAACACCGTCGTACCTGGCTCTCGGTCGGGCTCGTCCATCCTTGACCTGGGATGGCGACCGCCGCTTTTATGCAGCAGGAACAGGCTCCACAGCACCGTCGTGCCTGGTTCTCGGTCGGGCTCGTCCATCCTTGACCTGGGATGGCGACCACCGCTTTTATGCAGCACAAACAGGCTCCACAACACCGTCGTGCCTGGCTCTCGGTCGGGCTCGTCCATCCTTGACCTAGGATGGCGACCACCGCTTTTATGCAGCACAAACGGGCTCCACAACACCGTCGTGCCTGGCTCTCGGTCGGGCTCGTCGATCTCTAATCTGGGATGGCGACCGCCGCTTTTATGCAGCACAAACGGCCTCTCAACGCCGTCGTGCCTATTCTCCGCATGGCTCGTCGATCCTTAATCTAGGATGACGACCGCCATCTTATGCAGCACGAACGGCTGGCTCTACAACGCCGTCGTGCCTTCTTCTCGGTTGGGTCCACCCATGCCATTCAGGGTCGGGGCCGCCATTTTATGCAGTACGAGCGGCTGGCTCTTTAGCGCCGTCGTGCCTAGTGCGGGATTGCACCTCACCTACCATGCCTTGTGTCCAAGACTATTCAAAAGTATTGTTTCATGGAAGGCAGGGAAGGACATGAGCAAGAGTATACTTTCTCAAGTAGATTTGCAGATTCACTACTCAAAAAACTGGGGGACTTGTGTTGGGGTATATTACCCCGGCCTACTACTGTTTAGAGGCCCAAGACACATGTAGGCTCATTTCGGCCCAACACGGCCCATGTAGGCCCATTAGCCCAAATGAGGAAAACCCTCACACCCCTCCCCCATCTATAAATAGGAAGCAAAGCTTCCTGCTAAGGGGAGACTCTTCTTTGGCTCTTCTCTCCGGGAGAAAGCTTCTTCTCCTTTACTTAACTTCTTTATTAGTGAATTAGCTCATAAATCTCCATTAATGGAGCTTCAACTTATGTATTATGTAAATGGTGAAGAGAGCATATTAATGAGAAAGAGAGGGCTTGTACGTTAGGCTAAAAAGTCTTGTGGTTTTTTCCCTTTCCGGGTTTCCACGTAAAAATAGCTAGTTCATACACTTATATTTATGATTTATTTTTATACTAAATTCGTCGTCCTTAATATCTGAAGTTTATATTGGGCTTTCGGATCTACGGAACTAAACCTCAACAACTAGTATAGAAAATTCGGGCCTATTTGGTAACATCCAAATCGGCTGTATCGGCTGATTCTTGCTGCATTGGCTGATTCCGCTAATTTGTGAAGAAAAAAATTTAAAAAAAATTATTAATAAAATAAAGAAAAAATTATTTGAAAAGTAGTTAAAATGGTCCTCTACAATAACTTCACTCAATACAACCAGAAAAGTAATTTCAACCTTACTTTTTCTTGTCATTACACAATTCAGCACGCGAAACTAAAAGTTACGTGTTTGGTGAAAAAGTTGGTTGATGAGCCTGAAAAGCCAAAAATCTTGGTTTCCAAATGGGCTCTTAATGTCTATATACAGACATCGGTTTCTACATCACAAACACCGTCATATCTGCATAAAAGGCACAAAAAGTGATATATGTGTACAGACATTAGTTGTCTTCCACAAACAAAAAAAGTTCGAAACAGACACCAAAATATACGAGTATAGACATTTCTCAAGTGCCACAAACATTTAATGTCTGTACACAGACATTGGTTTTTGCACCACAAACAATGCCATCTCTGTAAAAAGTGACAAAAATTAATGTGTGTATACAGACATTAGTTGTCTTCCATAGACAAAAAATGATTGACACGGCAAAAAATGTACAAGCACAGACATTTCTCAAGCGCCACGAACAATTAATGTATGTACACAAACATTGGTTTATGTGCCACAAGCACTG